TTCCTTCCTCCCTCCCTCCCTCTTCCTTCCTGCCTTCCCTCCTTCTTTATCTAGCTTTGACCCACAGTGTCCATAACCTCTTCCTGCCATTGCCATATCTTTTTGTACTTTCATTCCATTCACCCAGAATTACTTTAACTTGGATCAGTCCACTGATCTCCTTCTCCACTCACTCAGTTGACAAATCTGTCAAAGATTTCCTGGAGAACACTACACAACCACATAACTTAGTGGATTAGATTTAGAGCGCATTAGTGGATTGCAAATGTATGGTCTTCAGTATTAATATATCTACCTCAAGGTGATCTTAAGTATCTTCAGTTGACTGTTTCTATTATTCACAATAGTCATTTCAAACCTTCACAGGTCTCTTCTAGCCAGCCTTCCCCCTCACACACATATGGCAAAGAAATAACCAAAGTTATTAGGCAACTTTCTCAGCTTCTTGAATCACTCCTGTGATAAGCAGAATTCTAAGATGGCCCCGATGACCTCTGCCCCTGGTGTCACTCACATGATTAGGTTACATTACTAGTGTCAATGTTAAACTTTACCTGAGACTGAAAAAGAGGAATGCTTAAAAAATACCCCAACCGTTTGTTTTCCCAAACTCCTCCACCCTTTCATGGTCTGAGAAATGGCTTACTGCAGAGAGCAACTTTTCCAAGTACAACTGAAGTAAGATTTTCTAACTTTCTCATGATTCTCGTAAGACTCACACATGACCCCATTGTTTATCTGTGACAAGTTCCTTTCACATGAATCTTCTGAACTGGGCAGACACAGAATGTTCAACTTCCAGTCTCTGTCTCATGATGGAGCTGAGATTAGAACTGTTTGTCTACCTGGAATTAGCTCTCCACAGAGGAAAACATTTCCTGTTCAGCTAACCAACTGAGACTTCCCCTGCTTGCAAAACAGCTCCAACTGTAAATCATTCCACCTGCAGCCTTGAGCCTTCTTAGTCAGTTCAGGCTGCTGTGACAAAATGTCCCAGACTGAGTGGCTTATAAACAAAAGAAATTTATTTCTCACAGCTCTGGAGGCTGGGAAGTATAAGATCAAGGTGCTGGCAGGTTAGGTGTCTGGTGAGAACCTGCTTTTGGATTCACAGATGGCACCTTCTGCCTGTATCGTCACATGGCAGAAGGGGCTAGGGAGATCTGTGGGGTCTCTTTTATAAGGGCACTAATCCCATTCATGAGAGCTCCACCCTCATGACCCAGGCATTTCCCAAAGGCCCCACCTTATACCATCACATCAGACATTAGGATTTCAATGTGAATTTGGTGGGGACACAAACATTCAGACCACAGCATTTCTCTTGAAACTCTGAGGCAAAACCACTTGCTGAGATACTGTGATCTGCTCTCCCCAAGAGCCTGAATAAAATCAGTATCCTTACTTGTCCAGTTTTTGGCTTCGACAGTGTGGTGCCGTGAGTCAGGCAGGACTAGACCTCTCCTGCAGTCCCTTTTATGCCACCCAGGCAAGGAGAACTCCGCAAGTCCTTTGTGCTCCACTCCTGACTCATGATCCAGAGATGCCGTGGCAAGCCCAGCTCTTGGTCCTGTGTTCCAGACTCCTGTCCATCAGTGGCACAGTAAGGATTTGATTTTTATTCTTTTTTGAGTACTGGCTTGATTTCTGGTGCTGGCTTCTTTCAGTTTTATGGTATGAAATTTGGATGAACTCTGTAAATATCCTAAATGGTTAATAGAAATCTTGTCTCTGTGGGTGAAAGATAGCAGGGAATCTGGCTTATTACTCTTTTTTGTCTATTTTAAATTCAAATCAATTAAGAATTTGTACCTAATGGGAAGAGAACCCCTCTTTTCTTTCTACTTGGCTGAAAAGCAAAGTTGGCTGAAATTTTAAAATTGAAGCCATAAACTCTGTTTGGGTCTGTATGTATGTTTATATGTCTGTGAGTGTAATTTTTCTTTCCTTCGTGGTAATACTAGATTATAAAATTTCTTAAAAGAGTGCTATTTGGAATGATTTAGAGAAAAGTAGGCCTTGTATAATTATGAAATTTCAGAAATTAAAGAAATTAATCCTCTAATAATTCTACTGTATATGTATATATGTAGATATATACATACATATACATTAATGCAAATTGCCTAGGAATTCAAGTTCACATTATTTAGTAAATCTTTGGCAAATAAGACTAGATTAATGTTGTTGGTTTAATAAAAACAGCTATATCTTCTGAGTAAGTATTAAATCTAAGTATAGAATAAATATATATATACAAGGGATGATTGTGGATTTTGTTTAGAATATTGTTGATATTCATGTTATATTTTCTAGATATAAGGAACCCCTTTCTCTTTTCTCTTGAGCTATCTATAACTCATAATAATTTAGTAAGTGCTGCTTTTATAAACAGAAATGAAACATTTATAATTTTCTCTCATCCAGCGAGAAATTCAGAAACTCCAGAATTCAAAAACTCTTACTGAATATTCTTATTTTCATGGCAATATAGCTATTTTCACAATTTTGATAACAGTTTGTCCTTTCTGTTAACAAGACTTAAGTGAAAACGTTGCTTATGCAACCAAGGCCTTGCTTGGAATGTCATGATTGAGAATAATGCTCATTTCATCAGACATGACCAGGTACTCTTAAGGGACTAAACTAAACATTTGTGGCACGAATGCTGACAAAAAGCTGAGGAACACTGGACTGTTATCTGGTTTACAGGGTGAGTAATGAAGGCTACTTCCTGGCAGGCCTAGGAACTTCAGGATGTTTCAGGGAATTTGAGAAGAGAGGAATTTACTCAAATTTATAGACACTACAGATGAAATCTGACGGTGAGTTCTTGGCTTAAGATGCTTTTAAAAATCCAGTGTGACATTTGTATTAAACTTCCAGCAAAGCAAACTTAAGAGGTGCTCTGTGATAAATACCAGTTTTGCATAAATACCAATCTTTGAAATTATTTTTGATTAAAAGGGGAGTGATTATAGAGAGAAATTTTATGTTTTAATGGAAAACTATGGCACCCTCCTCTGAGTCTAGTCCCAAGTTATCAAACTCTAGCCCTGTTCATTGTTTTTGTGCTATTTGCACACTTACTCAGTAAATTACAGGTAATTGATGAGTATGCAAACTCCATCTTCTCTGGTAGAGGTTTAAGTGACTTCCTTCCTCCCTGTGGAAAAACCAGATTAGGTACCAGCCTATAATTTGGACTGGATCCTGTTCCTTGGCACAAATTACTAACAGTTACCAAATGTTCAATTCTTCCACAATTCTTCAATATCTGACTACAACCCTCTAAACTAAGTTTTCCAAATTCCATCCCTCCCATATTCAGAAACTAAAAATCTGACCACCTAGATCCCTTCTGTATGCTGTACTGGCCTTTCCCCCCAGGATCTGAAGATGCTCTGTGAGCTAAAGCCCAATTACTTCATACAAACCTTGAAGGACTCAGGACTCATCGCCATAGCAGGCCATGCATGGGTTGGATTTTTCCCTGGACAAGCCACTGTCTGGGCCAGTAAGGAAGCTTGGCAAGATACTGAGCCATGCGTGCCCTTACATGAGAGGTAACATTGCCAAGAGCATCAACGTCTTAGCTTCAAGGAACTCAACGACCAGTGTGCCGCCGACTTTATGGAACCCACTCGACCGGTTACTCTCAGCTCTTGACGCTATTGACGTCAGTACACACTTTCATACCAGTAGTTCCTGTTTCCATTTCAGGCATTCCTCTATTAAGGTATCTGAAGTCCAGGAATCTAAAACAACTGACCTTTTCTAACACATCTCCATAAATGGTTCGACTGATTTTGTAGAAACAGTGCCAAAGGGACATCTTAAGGGGTTATTTTTGGACTCTGCTTGGCAGCATTCAGAAGGTTTATTCTCACCTTTGAGTTGTTCGGCAAAAATGATATTCATTCATCTTGAGCAAAAGAGTGACAGTGCTCAACTTGAGCCCTGTGTTCTTGAAGAAGGGAACAGTTAAGAAATCCCCCACTCGGCCACCAACATTTTGTGTTCCAGGAAAGCGCTTACTACAAAGCAAAGCGCCTACTCCTTCCTCATATGACTTAGATAAAACTCACTCTTCACTTTTTTTTTTTTCCAGTTCAGAAGCAAAGGGAAGCTTTCCTCTCTGATCAAAGAATGAAGAGGTACGAGCTTGCACTCTAGAGCACACGCTCTCCTGTTCACTCTCACAACTCATGTAAGCCTTGAGGGTAACTGTCACTATTTACCTGTGACAAGGCCAAATTATACCTTTCCCCTTTTGTGTGAACCTGTTGAGAAGGCCAAGCAGAACCTCCTACTACTTCTTGTTCTTTGTCTCATGATTGGTGAGCTGAAATTAGAACGTTTTTCACCCTGAAACTAGCTGTGATGGTTAATTTTATGTGTCAATTTGATTGGGCTAAGGTGTGCTCAGATAGCTGGGAAAACATTACTTCTGCATGTGTGTGAGGGTGTTTCCAGAGGAGATTAGCATTTAAATAGGTGAACAGTAAAGCAGAGAGCCCTTCCCACACTGGGTAGGCTGGGTGGGGGCCAAAGAGAACAAAAAGTGGAGGAAGGGTGAATTCACTCTTTCTTCTTGAGCTGAAACATCCATCTTCTGAGCTCTTGTTTCTTGGGCTTTTGGAATCAGATTGGCACTTACACCATCAAGTCTCATTCCAGCAGCTCCTGCCTTGTGCCATTAATAGTGGGTTTAGGGCTGGAGGTGCCCCGCATTTCTGTGGGACAATGGACACATATTTTTCTCCGCACCATTCTTACTGCCTGTAGCAATGAAGGACTTTTACTTTCTTAGGCTGTCTCTAGGAGTGAGCTTTCTCGATATGGTGATGGCTACATATTCTCTTGTGAGATGTCTCTTGCTTCTTTGGTTAAACCATTGAAAAAAAAAAGCTTACTGGTTTGAGTCGACGTTTGAAATTAGCATAGGATCCTACCTGTCAATGGCTGGCAATGCATCCTTTAAACTGGCTCTGTTTAAAAGGAAAACTTTTTGTGAAAGCTCTCATCGTTAACAGCTGTCATATTGGTACTTAGGGGAGGATCAAATTGAAAGGGAAAAAAAGTGACTAGCCTTAGAGAATCCCTTTTTAAGATGAAAGAACAAAAATTAGACTTAAAAATCCTGCATAAACTCCTCTTAAAAACTGCCTCTCCTCAGCAGTTCTCCAGGCCTCCCTACAAACAATCAGGAAATAAATCAGCTGGAGTCTGATATTCAAGGAAGAATAGAAACTGTCTTTATCTTGCAAATCTCTACAAAACCTAGCCTTGTTTCAATGGAAACAAGTCAGGGCCTAACTTTACCAGTCCTAAGGCCTTGTCTATTTCTCTCAAAATGCTTGTAGATATTATAAAAGATCAGGATGTTGGAGCAAAATTGTCCTGTACTTAAGAAAAAATTAATAATAATTACACTAAGACTTACGAAAATAGACAAATACACTTCAAAAGTCCTAAGAGGAAACTTACACTTTCTCTGTTCCTTGTAAATCTTATCCTGTCTTTGAAGAGCAAACAGCCCACATCACTTGAGAGTGAGCCCAGATTAGCTCACTTGTTAAAACCTGAAACTAAAGAAAGAATCGGGAAAGAGGCCTTTTAAACACAAACTCCTAAAAGATCTCTCTTGCCCAAATAGCATCCTTAAAATTGCTTGTCAAGAGCAAATGCAGATCTTAAAATTCTTCTCCACAAATAAAAGATTTTATTTATCTGAAGGAAAAATCTACGTGATTCCAACTGTTATTTATAAACGACTGCGTTTGGCGTTGTACCTGATTCATGACTGAAGTTTTAAAATGAAAACTCTGAGCTCTCTGGTTGAGTCTGTCTGCATGTCTATTTGTACCTCCTTCTGCCTCTGGAGGGTATTGCCAAACTAATTTGTAAAAGAACCCTATTTAATTGACTTAAACAATCAAGCACTTATATTAAAAGTCTTAAATAATAAAAACCAACCCAGATGGTTTTCCAAGCTTCCATGATCTAGGATAGTCTTTAGTGAATAAAAGCTAATTTTAAGTTTGTTAGTTTAATTAATACAGGCATATCTTGAGAATTAGCAATAAATATAATGCATATAAACAACTTTTTTTCTACCTGGATTTACTGGTCAAATGGGCTAATGTTTGTTTCTGTTGCAAAATTTGTCAGGAGAAAAAAACCTTGATAATGACTAATTGCTTTAATGTCTAATGAAATTTTCATGAGTAATCTAAATACGATTATTAAGAACCAATGAATTAAATTGATGTGATTGAGATAAGAGCTTTCTGGTGAACTTTTTAACAAAATTGTTTTATGATACGTCTACTTAAGTAGTTTCCTAAATCTCTTTGGTAATTTATACCCCTAGAGTTTTGCCGAGTTAAATGATGAGAACTCATTGAATGTCTAGATCATTTCCAAATAAGATAAAATACTAAAACATTAATTGCCAAACAAGTCTAGTTTACCTACTTTTGACCTCTTATTACAGAGACTAAGTATGTTAGTAAATATATCCTGTGCTTTATTGAAAGGTTGTACTATGAAGTAGCACATGTTTCTAGATATTATAAAATGTGTTTGTAAGTTTGCCAAGCCACAAAATGTCAATATAGTTCACAATTGTTTACTTCTTTATTTTCACTAAAAAATTAAAATTTCAGAGGATTAAGAATTCTAATTCATATACGTGGTTAAAACCACTAGACATAATAATAGAAATATGATGTGTTTTTGAGTAAGAAAAGTATAAGGTATGGAGATGTTTTTGTTGAGGAAATAGAAAGTGATTTTGCCCTAAACACTCTGTATGGTTAGGAATGGTTAACTCAAAATGGGAAGGAAAATAAGGCACAAACTAAAATGGTCATAAAAAGCTGTAAAAGATTTGTGAAAAAACGAATCTTTAGAAAGGACTTTTATGTGTGCTCAGCACTGAATAAGACTGGGATGAATTTAATTAAGTAAATGAGTTTTAACATTAAAAGTAAACTGCTGCAGGTGCAGCCACTACGGAGAACAGTATAGAGGTTCCTTAAGAAACTAAAAATAGTACACCAGAGACTGACACATTGTAATTGGCTGTACTTCATTAAAAAAAAATTAAAAATGAAAACAACAACAACAACAACAACAACAACTAAAAACAGAGTTGCCATACGATCCAGCAATCTGACTCCTGGGTGTATATCCGGAGCAAACTATAACTCAAAAAGATACATGCATTCCAATGTTCACAGCAGCACTATTTACAATAGCCAAGACATGGAAGCAGCCTAAATGTCCATTAACAGATGACTGGATAAAGAAGATGTGATATACATATATATACACACATACAAACACACACACACACACACACACACACATATATACACAGTGGAATATTACTCAGCTGTAAAAAAGAATGAAATAATGCCATTTGCAGCAATATGGATGAACCTAAGAGATTATTATATTAAGTGAAGTAAGTCAGATAGAGGAAGACAAATACATGACATCACTTACATATGGAATCTAAACAAAAATGATACAAATAAACTCATTTACAAACCAGAAATAGAATCACAGACATAGAAAACAAACTATGGTTACCAAAGGGGAAAGGGATAGCGGAAGGATAAATGAGGAGTTTGGGATACACAGATACAAACTACTATATATAAAATAGACAAACAACAAGGGCTTCCTGTAGAGCACAGGGAACTATATTCATTATCTTGTAATAACTTACAGTGAAGAAGAATCTGAAAAAAAAAGTATGTATTACTGAATCATTTTGTTATATGCCTAAAACTAACACAATATTGTAAATTAACTATACTTCAATAAAAAATAAAATAAACTAGAGCAAAGTTGGAATTTTGTTCTCTCTGTTAAAAGAACAAAGTTGATTTTTTTTTCCTATTGGTCCACTCGATAATAAGAGATTATGAAAGATTTTTCTTTACCTTTAGGTAATTTGTCTAGAGGGAGAAAAAAAAGATCTTATGTCTTGTCAAAATAATCACTTATGTTTTATCTTGTCTTTATTAGGCCTTTGATTACTAAAGTAAACCTAGTCCTCTCAATATTAAAATAGATACGCTTTGCTTAGAATATTATAACCTTCTATATTTGCCTATGAAGTCTTTACCTGTTATTTTGGTTCAATGTATGACTAAGCATTGTTTCACAGTGATCTATTTGACTAAGTGTTTTACAAACCTTTTGGATATTTTGGACAAACTTCCCTCAAATCAAATACTAAATGATTCTTTTTGACTTAGAACTAACTCTGAGATATATTTCAGAGGGCCCCTGAAATATCTCAAAGATTTGTTCTCTCTCCTTATAAAAAGAGGTATGAGACTAATTAGGCATATTTGATACGTTAAATTCCACGGGGAACATTGTCAAAAACTAATTTAAGCCTTCTTTACGTTGTGTCTGTACAGGTACATAATATAAATGTTTCACAAATTATGTGGAATTCCTGGAAGTCTTATATGAGGGCATAAAATGTTGTCTGCCATCAAAATTCAGGCTCACGCTAAAAGGACTGCACCCAGGTATCAGCAAAATGCTTTGACTTTCACGCAAAGGTAGCTACAGCAGAACCTGTAAAGGTTTTGGCACACACAGGTGCAATCTATTCTGCTTCTGCAAAAAAAAAAAAATTGATCCTTAATTGCCATACTTTCGCCATCTGATGTCCTCATAACATGGCCACAGTGTGCTCCTGAATCAGAGAAATTCAGACAGGTGAACAATAGCTGTAAATTACACAGCAGTCAAGGGTATAGGAAACCCGGGACGGCTGCTTGGTTCTTCTGGCTCCCTAACAAACCTCATTTTTTGTTTTTTTGTTTTGTTCTGTTTTGCATTCCTTCGCCTAACATAGTGCATTTAAGAGGGCTCCAGCTGTAAATAGACATTGGCAGGAAGATTTCTAGAAAATTGTGAAAACAGTCTACCAGCAAGGTCTGTCCTGTCAGGTCCATATAACCCCGGTTGGGGGGGTGGGTAAAATATTTTTGTCCTCAGAGACCTCAGACCTCTTCCCTCTGGACCCTTTGAGCACCTGCAGCTGGACTTCATTCAACTGACATTTAATATGGGTTCTCAAAATGTGCTTGTTATTATAGGTGTGTTCTGCATGGGCTAAACCTTCCCTTGCTGCAAGGCTGATGCAAATGGCACACAATGGCAAAGAAACTGTTCAAAAAAGTTTTCCCGCTTGGGGTGTATCTTCCACACTATCCAGTGATCAAGGCATCCACTTCACTGGGCAAGTCACAGGAGCCTTAACAAAAACCTTTCAGGCATCTTATAATTATCACTGTCCCTATCACCCTTAATCATCGGGCAAGGTTGACAGAACTAACGGAGAAACCTGACTCGAGAGAAAACACCAAGTACTGACAAGGACGTGGAGTGGCTGGAACTCTCACACACTGCCGGCAGGAGTGCACATTGGCACCACTGCTCTGGAAAACTATTTGGCATTGCCTAGTGGGCTTAAACGAACCAGCAGCTCCATTGCTGGTGTGTATCTAAAGTGGAATGCGTTCATACCTTCAACAGAAGACCTACACAAGGATGTCCAAAGAAACACAATGTATGATAGCCTAAACTTGAAACTTCCCCAATGCTCATCCACAGAAGAACAGATCAGCGCTGGTACAGAGGAGTCTACAGCCATGAGAAGAACAAACTACAGCCAGAACTACTCTGAAGGAAAATCTCACAAACAGTGTTGAGTCAGACGCAGTGGAGTACATGCTAAGTGATTCCATTTACATAAATATGCAGATGAGCAAAACTAATGTACGCAATTGGAAGTCAGATAGTGGTTTTCCTTGTGGGGTGTGCAGTGTGCTTGGAAGAGGGCATGGGGAGGTTCTGGGCACCGGCAATGTTGTGTGCCTTGATCAGCTGCTATTTATATGTATAAGATCAGTTTACAGAAAATCCTTGAGCTGCACACTTGTGATTTGTGCACTGTTCTATCTGTAGGTTAGAGTTCAATAAAACGTCCCCCTAGCCCTGCCATCACTGCCTGTTTCAGAGCCCTGGTACTGTTTCAATAGTAATTAAACTGTATCTTGTGATTTGCTACCTCTTTGTTTTTTTTAATAAAACCTACATTTATTATTTTTTTAATGGAAGTACTAGTGATTGAGCCCAGTACAACTTTGCAAACAAATTAATTTTAATTTGGCTATCTTTGATAGAAATGTGGGTGACGTCAGGGGGAAAAATTATGTTTCAATAGAACCTATAATAGCCACTAGTGGATATTAGATTCTTGTGCTATTACTTTTCCTTGAGGTTTTGTTATTCACCTGAAACCTGACTGGGTCCTGAATTTTCCTCATCGCCTCCAATATCTGGCTTCAACTCTGAGCTAATGTTTCCAATTTTCTCCTACCTTTTGACATGCAATCACTGAGAAATGAAACTGCCCTTTTCCTGAATCCTGGCAAACTGAAGCTAGAGGACAATATAAACTTCAGAGGAATTGCCCAACAGCTCGTATTGAAACAATTCTCATGCCTACTGCTGTAGGAGCCATTCAGAAACTTTACCTGAATGCCCAGTGACATCTTCAGAGACCTTGCAAACTACAAAAGAAGCTTTGACCCTGACATCTAGGAATCTTCTTGACTGACTGCCCCCGGGCTCAGAAATTGGTTTCAGTCTGCGCCAATCATTAACCATTGTTTTTCCTTTTGTTTCCATAGAAACACCTAATATGAAATACCTGATTCCTTGCACCACAGGATTAGCTTTGGGAGCCAGTCTGCATCACTGCCTCCTGAAATGAGACATCATTATTTCCGGGAATTGACCTGTTCTCAGAACTAAGAAACTTGTTCAGCGAAAAGGACTCTGCTAACACTCTCTGCGGCCAGCAGCTCAGCGGCTAACATGTGAGACTTTGGGGAGTTTCAGAGGCAGGCACTGGTGGGGCCCAGGGCAGGCTGCTTCACAGACTTACTGTTCCTTTGTCCAAAAGGTATAAAGGCTGCCTGCTTTGGCCACTTCTTAGGTCTCATCTCTATGAGACCTCCATGCGCATGAATTAAAAATGTTCTTTTTCTCCTGTTCATCTGTCCTGTATTAGTTTTATTAGCAGTTCAGCCACAAGAACTCGAGAAGGGTAGGGGAAACTTCCCCCTCCCCAATAAGTAGGTCCCGGAGGTCCCTACACTTAAGGAGAGGTGGGAGGAGGAGGGGATTATCTGCATGATAAGCCATATTTACAACTGTTTTCTTTTGCATATAAATCTCTGTGTCATAAATATAAAAATCATGTGAGACCTGAGGTTTCTTTATACTTATTAAAAAACACTAACTTTGACTAGAGAGGACACTTGAGCAATTTGTGATTATTTTGAGGAGAAAACAAACAAACCCCTTTCAACATCGAGGATCTTTTTCTTTTCCCCTAAAACCGAATATAGAAATTGATAGTAACTTAATTCACCATTTACAACTTGTTTGATATTGACCAAGATTATGAATCTCTCTTCTTAACAGTAAACTGGCATATTTTAGGAACGGTCATGTCTCATGTTTCTAAAAAATTCTCTATACACATGTGACCTGGAAGTCTCTGAGTAGGAGAGACTTTCCTCCAAAACTGGCTGTGAACAAAGTATGAAATGATTGAGTTACTTTGTGAAGAGAAAAGATTAAACTGACAAAGATGATCAAAATCCTGACATTTTAGAGTCCTGAGAACACAGAGCTTGCCTTTTAACCTGTCCAACCACTAATATTGTGCAATCAGGAAGTGTCTCCCCTCTCTGCTTACTCAATTCCCTAGCCACCTCTATCTACAGGGAAATATTTGAAAGTGGGGACAATATTACCTTCCTGATCCAGATTGGCTGCATAGTGTTCAACAACAAAATCAACTGAGTAAATGTAAGATTGGCTCAATTAAACGAGTCATGAAGCGGGCGGCATCCCATCTAGCAAATACAAAGGATGGGGTGTGAGAAAAGGAAATTGTTAGCAAAGAATGCATTGTTTCAGGCCAGGCCACCCTCCTAAATGGAATGGGAGGGCCTACAGGGATTACTTCCTTTAGTGCTGACCAGGTAATTCCAGGTTGGCTGGTTAAAGGTTACACTTATGGGAAGGTGAGATTGCAGTTAGGTTAGGTAATAAGTTGGTTTGGTGACGTGGGTCTAACACAACTGACTCCATTTTGGGCATGTTGTTTCCTTTTAACAATAGAAATACCTCATCTCTTAATGGCAGTTGTTATTCGAAGAGGCTTTATGAAAAAGTGTTTTTTTCCCTTCCATACTATTACTAAACCGGAATGAATATCTCTTTACTGGTTAAAAAAACCAAACAAACAAACATCAATTTTCTCATGAATTAAAACTTCAACCTTATTTATTGTTGAAATAATCTGTATTTAATTTTGGGGTTTTGGCCTTGGTTCCTTTTCATTTTTTCCAGCTTTATTCAGATATAATTGATGTTTAAATTTAAGATGAACAATATGATGATTTGCTATACATATATACTGAGAAATTACCACAATAAGGGATTTCTTTTCTATAAAGATCTGCAAATAAATTTACTGATAAAGAGACTGATGACAACTGGAAAAATTATCAGGACATATAGAATGGCAACGTGAAGAATTCAAAATTTCAGAGCTGAATTTCATAATTGTACTGTTTCTTACTGAATGATTTGTTGAAAAAAAAAGTCATCTCATTTCTTTTAGAATTGGTTAGATTGGAAACATCTTCAATCCCGTAAGGCTATTGAGAAGTCTGAGAATATTTGGAAAGGCTTATGTAAGGGGTAACAAGTCAGAGAAGAAATAATTATGGTCAATATTTATCCAAAAGGAAAGCAAAGTTTCATTTACGAGAGAAAGAAAAGCCCCTATCTTACTTACAGTATAATTTATATTAGGGTTACTATCAAGTGAGATTTATTACGAGATTTAGAGCACTCATGTATGCCCTGATTTCGGCGGGTGAAGCCGGAGTTAGCTTAGTGTTGGTTCCTCCACCTGGAAGACACCTGCTCAAGCGCATCTGCGCGGGCAGCGGGGTGAGTCAGCGAGGAGAGCAGAGCGCGCACTGCCCTCCAGGTGACGCTCGCTCGCGCTCGCTAAGCCGCGACGCGCGCTCAGCGCTCAGCAGGCGGGCCCCTCCTTGATGGGATCTTGATGGGATGTGCTCCGGGATGGTTACCACGTTACTGGATCTTCGGTGGGACTTCTTTTTTAAATTAATCGTAAGTTTAAGAATTAAAAAAAAAAAAGATTTAATTGTACCTAAGTTTTCAAAGGTGGCTTTTGGTCACATTCCAGAAATAATGATTAGGTGCTTTTTCACTCAAGAGTTCTCTTTGGAACACGAAAGGAATTACTATGTTTCTTAGAAGTCAGATACTTTAAGTAAACGTTGATATCATGCTGATGTGGTTTCTAATTTTCTTGGAATTCTCTGACCTTTTTGTCGGGGAAGCGCCCAGCTTTCTTCTCGTACCGCGGAGATACAGGAAAAGACTGCTGAGCTGCGCGTCAGGAAGCCTACATTTAAAATCTATGTAACACTGCATAAAGCACTTAGGCCTCAATTGTTTTTAGAAGTGTGTGCAAAGGGGTGTGTCGGGGGTGGGGGAGATGGAGGGAGGGGAGGAGGGAGAGGAGAGAGGGGGAGAAGAGAGAACGGGTAACTGATTATAGATGGAAAGATTTGAGATGTGTTAGACTACAAAATAATTAAGCTAATTATATAACTAGGGTACATAGGTTGACTGATAAAACTGACTTATAATTCTGAAAGGATAAATTTAACTAAATTAAAAAACGGACTACTTCACACAGTAGATAATGAATCTTTAAAACCTGAGGTAGTAAATCACAAGATACAGTTTAATTACTATTGAAATAGTACCAGGGCTCTGAAACAGGCAGTGATGGCGGGGCTAGGGGGACATTTTATTGAACTGTAACTTACAGACAGAACAGTGCACAAATCACAAGTGTGCAGCTCAAGGATTTTCTGTAAACTGATCTTACACATATAAATAGCAGCTGATCAAGGCACACAACATTGCCCCTGCCCAGAACCTCCCCATGCCCTCTTCCAAGCACACTGCACACCCTACAAGGAAAACCACTATCTGACTTCCAATTGCATATATTAGTTTTGCTCATCTGCATATTTATGTAAACGGAATCACTTAGCATGTACTCCACCGAATCTGACTCAACACTGTGAGATTTTCCTTCAGAGTAGCTCTGGCTGTAGTTTGTTCTTCTCATGGCTGTACCAGCGCTGATCTGTTCTTCTGTGGATGAGCATTGGGGAAGTTTCAAATTTGGGCTATCATAAATTGTTTCTTTGGACATTCTTGTGTAGGTCTTCTGTTGAAGGTATGAACGCATTCCACTTTAGATACACACCAGCAATGGAGCTGCTGGTTTGTTTAAGCCCACTAGGTAATGCCAAATAGTTTTCCAGAGCAGTGGTGCCAATTTGCACTCCTACCAGCAGTGTGTGAGAGTTCCAGCCACTCCATGTCCCTGTCAGTACTTGGTTTTTTCTTTTTTGTTTTAGTCATTCTGGTGAGAGTAGCTAATTTGCACCTACTTTTTTTTTGCTTTTCAAAGGCCTTATCCTGTATCCAATCTTATCATAATTTATCCCAACACAAATCGTATCGCCCACATTCAACAGACGTACCACACTCGCTCTCCTCTCCATCACTCCACTCACTATAAAGGCCTGGTTTAGGCCTGGCCAAACCCCACTATTTTCCAAATCCCAATTTTTAGTGTACCTCTTTAATAAAGAACTCCTAAAAGTTCAACGTGAGCTAGAAAGCTTACCAGCTTTGTATGTATATCAGATTGTGAGCTATAGGTCCCGGGAGACAGAATGAAATGTCTGTTTAGCTGTTAAGTCATTTCAACTCAGTTGTGGGTGCTCCTCGTTTGTTAGTCCTGAGAAAACAAAATTTAGTCATTGATTTATTGAGCATATGCTATATGTGAGGCTGGAATACACAAGGGTGAACAAGGCTCATGGGACTTTCTTGTACTAGGGGAAACCTCAAAACCCCCATAATAATTCTCAAAAGAATTGTGAAATAAAGGCCAGACATTAGAAACAAAACGTTAAAAATATCCAATATGTTAAGGTGTCATATTTTGGGGTAGTGTGTCCTGAACCCCATCACTATGTTCTAGGCACTGGGCTCCATGTTGTTTTCAGGTAGAAATTTCAATCTAGCAGGAGAAATATTTCAATTGAATAATGACTGATATAGAATTGTAACTATTTAAATGCTGCCAAGAGATTTCACAGAGTCCCATGAGAAGATAAGAAGGAAATCTGGTCGATAGGTCAGGGAAGGCCCATTTGATAGTGAAAAAGGATTTTAAAAAATGTTGAGTACAAACATGTATTGAATTAGGCTTTGAATTTTTCTAAGCAGGGTTTGCATTTGTAACTAGCATATAAAGATGAACTTTCTTAAACATGTTCCTTTTTTTAAATAGCATAGAACTAGGGCTTTGCTTGTTTACAGTGGTTGAAATTTTCAAATAACTGTTTATAATATTCCAACATTTGGCAATGACTAGGAAACTGTCAGTTATTACAGAAATAGATGACATGGTTTTTGGCAACTGCAGGATAAATACTGGTGAGAACAAATGTTTTACCTGTTTGTTGGGTCTTCATCAGGACTTGAAAAACAGAACCGTGTAAGGGGGAGGGTATAGCTCAGGGGCAGAGTGTGTGCCTAGCATGCACAAGGTCCTGGGTTCAATCCCCAGTACCTCCATTTAAGATAAATAAATAAAAACCTAATTGCCTCTCCCCCAAAATAAAAAAGAAAAACAGAACCACGCAGAACAGCCCACTTCAGCTTGCTTCACTTAACTGACCCGCTTCCCTCTGCCTCAGTTGTGAAAGCTCATCGTTACCTTCCTTCTTAACAGCAGTATCTCTTGTATCACCTCCCAGACAACTATTCTTCCCATCATTAGGAGTGATCGTTTACCGGAAGATGAATCTGTAATAGCGCAAGAAATAGACTAATTG